TTTTCAATTTTTTGTTGGATTTCTTTATAAGTATTTTGTTGTTGTTGAATGTTGAGAGCAGTTTTGATTTGTTGGAAGCTAATTACAAGTTAAATTGATAAATACTATAATTGAAAAGAAATAATTTCAATATTAATTACAATTTAAAATAATTGTCAAAAAAATTAAATCAATATTAAAGCCATTATATTTCTGTAGCATTAAATTAAATTTATTCACCTGAAAAGTTTCTATTAAAAATTTAATTATAATTAACCAACTAATTGAATTTTAACTTGCAGATAAATCAATAAGCATTAATTATTTGTTTTTTTTGCATGTTCAGGAATTTATGAAAGAAATAAAACTGGTCTCATACCTTTTTTACAGCAGCGTTCTTTTTAATTATGCTAAAAGGAGATAAATATTCTGGTTTTTAAATACATCAACTAAGAAATTATTATTAATTTTGTTCTTAAAATTTTGTAATGTACTAAATCAAATTAACAAAACGCTGAAAGGTAATTTTGATTTACAAATCTCACTGTTTATTTAATGTTTATTTATCTTTTATTTATATATTCTCAGGATGTCAAACTTACAAAAGGAAACTTGGTATTCGACTCTCCTGTACCTAATATGATTCTTCGTAATATTTCCTTCAAATCCAGTGAAGAATTTACACATATAAGATACACCGCAATTACATGCGATCCGGATGAGTTTGTAGAAAAGAAATATTCAATTCGACAAAATAATTATAAGCGAGATACTGAAATAATGGTTGTTATTACAATGTATAATGAAAATGATGCTCTTTTCATTAAAACAATATCTTCTGTCATCAAAAATGTGGCCTATATTTGTTCAAAAAAAAGATCAGAAATATGGGGAAGTGAATGTTTGAAAAAAATTGTTGTGTTAATTGTTTCAGATGGTTGTAATAAAGTCAATAAAAGGGCTCTAAATGTTCTGAGTACTATGGGGTGTTATCAAGATGGAATTATACAAGATCGTGTCAGAAGAAAACCTGTCACTGCACATCTTTTTGAATATACTACACAATTAATGGTTGATGATGATTTTAATGTTCAAGGAAAAAACAATAATATTCAACCAGTTCAGGTTATGTTTTGTTTAAAAGAAAAAAATACAAAGAAATTGAATTTTCATCGTTGGTCTTTCAATGCTTTTGCTCCTCTTTTGAAACCAAAAATTTGTATTTTACTTGATGTTGATACAAAACCTTCACATACCTCAATTTACCACCTGTGGAAAGGTATATTTAATTGTTATAAATTAATTACTGATTTTTTCTCTACTCAAATATGAAGTACATATCTATATATACATATATATATTAATGTGCATAGTTACTATTTATTTATTTGATTTTTTTAGCTTTTGATCATGACCCTCATATTGGTGGTGCTTATGGAGAAATAAAAGTAGACCTTGGTCGTAGATGGAGTAATCCTTTAGTTGCGTCTCAAAATTTTGAATATAAAATGTCTAACATCTTAGACAAGCCATTTGAATCTGTTTTTGGTTAAGTTTCAGTATTACCAGGTGCTTTCTCTGCATATAGATACAAAGCATTAATGAGTGGACCTTTGGTATCATACTTGAAAGGTGAGACCATGCATGGCTCAGGTGTTGCTAAGACTAGTATTTTTGAAGCAAACATGTACCTGGCAAAAGATCGTATTTTAAGTTTGGAGCTTGTCATTAAAAAACACGAATCATGGAAATTAAAATATATAAAGGTAACAAATATTATATTATTTATTGTAGCAGCTTACGCTGGGAATTTGACTTCTTTTATTATTGAAATTACAAAAAAATTTAGGCCTTTTTTGTAATCTTTTTTTTTTTTTAGAAATTAAGGTTAATATTTATAATAAACAAGTATATGTGGGTTTTAGTAGCTATTAGAGGTTTAAATAAGGACCCAAATCTCAGCATAAGCTGCCACATTTATTACTATAAATTCCAAATTTGTTACTGAGAATTGCTGATATTTACAAATTTTTAACTATTATTTGTTCAGTCAGCTAAAGCAGAAACTGATGTCCCAGACAATGTGCCAGAATTTATTTTCCAACGTCGTCGCTGGTTGAATGGATCTTTCTTTACTGCTTTCTATTCAATTGTCAAATTTATCTATATTTAGAGCTCTGAACAGCCACTTTATCGCAAGATATT